CTCGATTGGACTCCTTTTATTTACTTTCATAATATAATGACATCACTATGTAACACTCTTGTTTCTATTGGCTAGCGCTCTGACACATTGTATGTGATGAGCTTAGAGGCGGGACATCTTTTGGCAGATGACTAATCACAACAGCTAACCAATCAGAGCAGACTGGGCTCTGGTTTCAGACAGAGGGTGAAAAGAGGTGCTGCAGCACAGGCAGTATGAGAAAAATAAAGAGCTTTTGAACATTAAAGCATGGAGACATGTCACAGTAGAATACAGATATGAACATGAGCAGAATAGAGCCCCTTTAGTAAAAAAATCACAATAATTTGGCATGTTTTTACTATACTACATATCCATCCTAATATTATAAACCGTGGAGGGAAAGTTTTCCTTAGAGCTGTTTTCTATGCAATAAGCGCTTGTTTATCATGACTATGTGAAGGTTCAGAGAAAGATCTAAAGTAAACACTAATATCACACACGAGTCTGTTTCTTGTTGTTCTGATCCATTTGTTAGTTTCAGGGATTAAAGTCTGACAGTCATGTGGTCAGCTCTGTACAGAGCGTCACATTCTTGACAAGAGTAACCTTTATGCAACACTACATCCCTCCACACAATACACACTACGATAAACAAGCTTGATGATAAATTGTTTACTTAGATGAAATACAGAATAGAAATTCACAATGGAAACAACTAAAAATTGTAAACATAAGTACGTTTCATGGACCAACGCAGAAAATATTCTCAGGCTTTTCTTTTCAAAATAACCTTTTCAAAACATGACTTTACTTGCTCTTCATTCAACGATACATAACAAATGTAAAAATGTAATTACTTTATCAGAAAATCTAATTATGATTGTATTAAATATTACACATAATATAATAAACTACCCCACCAGTCTGTATTACACCATTACACTTAACAGCTGCCTTAACATCATGTATTTCAACTACTTGCGATACTTCAATGTAATATTGTAATAATACTTATGTACGTTACCTGCAGTACAATTTTGAATGAAGGACTTTAACATGTAATGTAGCATATTTACAGATCATGTACTTAATTAAAAGCAGCATGGTCCTCTAATTTGACAATTGAATTATCACACCACAATCGGAGAGCAGTGTTAAAAAACAATAATTAAACAATTTTTGGAAAGTAACAAGGGAATTAAAAAGATAAAAAAACAACGTTTGGCTAAAATGGATAAAAAAACAAAAGGCCTTATGATGTACTTCGGTAGGCTATATCAATATAGCCTAAAATATTGTTAATAAGTCATGTTAATAATTACAACTAACAGTAGGGTATTGTGCTGAGGATAACTATTGTCGAATATGTACATGTACAATTCATTTGGATAAAAACAGATCCCATCTGTCTGTATTTAATCTGTCCTTCATCATCATCATCATCATCATCATTTACGCCCCTCAGTGCAGGCCTCTGATTGGTCAGCTCTGTTGCCCCCCTCCTCTCACTTCAGCGCTGCGGAGCAAACCGTTTTCTAACGGCCGGGCTATTTGATCGTTTATCGAGTGTTTGGTCCGTCACTGATGCTATTTATCCCGGTTAAATGACGCCATAGCTTCAGGATAAACAGGTTCAGGGTTTCTGCGGTCACATTTTGAATGTGTGTAAAGAAAAGCCTGCCCCTTCCCCCGCCTCCCGGGCACACGGTAGGAGGGCAGACTGCGAGCAGAACAAGCAGAAGATAGTTTTGTTGTGAACAGACTGTTTACCGAGAGCTAACTTTAGTGCTAACAGCTAGCGTCAAATAAAACAGCGCGCGGAAAAAACAAGTTTTGCATCCGCTTGTTGCAAAGCTATTCACGTTAGCTTTATCAATATGGTGACTTTGTCATCCGTAATAAGACCTTTCGCCTCTCAGCTTCACCGTCAGCTCGTCAGACACGCCAACCGTCACCGGATAACGCCCGTCCGGAGATGCAACCTCGCGGCATGTTCCAGCAAATATGTGCTGTCACAGAGTAAGTACTATTATAAGTTAGCTGTGCACAAGGGGTATGTTTTACGAGCGTAAAAACACAGCAGCTCATTATCAAACTGCCTTCAAAGGGAACATTTTAACCTCGGATATGATTGTAAACAGTGGCAGGTTGTGTATAAGCATGGAAGTGGTGTGGTTTTTGGTCGAATTGTGTCTCTTAAGCCTACAGGGCCCTATCATTGTTGCTCACATAACATCAGTTAATGGTCACTTTTGTTGTCATCTGAAAACGTGCATTAGGAGCATTGGAAAGCCCGGGCTGGACCTCCGGATCAGTGTGTTGACTCAGCTGTGTGTGAGATAGACCCAGGCTCCAGGGTTTCCGAACAGGAATTGTTGTCCTTATGTATAGGGGCCATTTGAAGCCCTTTCACCTAAATAGGGGGCCAGTATGTCAAACCACTGCATTATGTATTGTGTGTAGAAGTGGGAAAAGTAGTCAGTTTTAACTATTTGTATTTACCAAAAAAGTGCAATAAGTACAAACGTATACTTACTTTAGTAAAGTAGATTGGCCCTTTTCATAATCATATTAAATGACCGGATTATTGATACATTAGTGTGTTTATCTAAGCAGGTTACGTTGGAGCTCATTTGAATTACTTCGAATACTGCTGCTTGAAACTTTTATTTATATGATTTTTTACAATATTGTAATATTTTGTATTCACTACTTATAATCTGAATCTGTAAAAATAATTAAAAGCTGTCGGATACATTTAGAGGAGTAATAAGCACAATACTGGCTTCCAAAATGTAGTAGATGAATAGAAGTACAAGGTAGCATAAAATGAAAATACTCAGCACTTAGGTACAATGAGTAAATGTACTCTATTAGATTTCACCACTGGTGTCAGGAAAGTTGGTTTAAAATTATTATTATTTTTGTGTGCAATCTGAAAAAATTACCAAACACTTTTATTAGTTTATGAGAGATCATGTGATACACGTAACATAAAATGTTCAAATCAAATGTTTATTAGTGCAGTTATAGCACAGTAAGTCATGATGAAACATGTTTTATTCAACATGGAGAGCAAGTCTTTCGTTTTTTATGCATTAGACATGAGTCATTCTCCTTTAGAAAATGTTGTTCCCATGGAATATACGAGACTCCGAAGCTCGTCCGACAAGTCCTAACAACTTCCTCACCACACCCAGTGACAAAAAAAGAACGAGAAGATGAAACAAATACGCCAGTGCAGCAGAGCTTTAATGTTCAACCGCAATCATAAACAGAGTTCATATTTAACTTTTACAAGGTTTTTGTATTGGGCACTCTCTGTCCAAAGCTTTATGGATTGTTGGCTTATGAGTTGGCCAATAGAAATGTGTTTTTTCGAAATCCTTTGGCCTACCTTTTGCCTTCTGCTTTCCCCACTCCCCAGGTAACAACATGTGACTTACAGGAAAGGGACAGTCTGTGCGTCCCTGATGTAGGGAGGCATGTCAACATTTCAAAATGCCAGGTGTAAGGTCTGAGCACCTCTTATCCTCAGTCAGCCATTGAGTTTCATTACATTTCTATACCGTGGGCTTTGCATATACATACAACATCATTTAAACTATAGTTACCATCCCTTTAACACGTTTAGGTGCAGGGCACAACATTATCACCATTTACCAGACAAATGTTGATAAAAATATGCATGTGGCTATTTGCATCACGCACTCATGGCTGTTGGACACAAACGTTTATTTTTTATTTTTGTTGGTGTTTTGTGTCATTGTGGGCTATGTTTGAAATCAACAAGAAGAACTGCTATATAGCAAGCATATTTAATTTGTATATGATTTTGTGTTCAATGTTTCAAAGCACCTACTGAATCTTTTATAACCTTTCACACGCATTCAAGCATTTCAGAGTTGCCGGTTAACCTAACCTGCCTGTCATTGGTTGGAAATTGGAGAATCCAGACTATAACGTATGAACATAAACTTATTGTCCTTTGGAATTGTTCTTAAACTTGCATTGTCGTTGCATGGTTTTGCATTGAAGACTGTTCAAATATGTCTGCTTGTTCACCTGCTTGATTTTCATACTGAACCGATTGGAAAATCATTGTTAACAGCAGTTGACTGGAATGTAAAAACAAAAAAACATTATAAATTCAAACTCAGGCTTTGGAAAATGGTGTCAAGTAATGTGAATGTTCTCATTCAAACCAAAGCCTTGTGCTAAATGGCTCAACACATTCCACTCTGCTTGCAATCAGACAAAAAGCATTTTTTCAATTTACATTTATTTGTAGGTCTCTTCTTTGTGAATTCTGACTCATTAATCATTGTGGTATCAAATGTTTCAAGCCAACATTTTATTGATGCAGCTTCACATGAAAAACGTTGTTAAATGATTGAAGCAGCTAATGGCCGTGTAATTTCTTCACCACAAAAGCATAGAAACTTTGTTAATGGGGATATCAAAAAACTATAATAAAAAGAAGAATATTTAGTCATCCTTGCAAGATATGGACTTATTCAACAAACACTTTTTTGTATTAACATTATACTAAAAGAAGCACAAAGGCAGAACTGAATACACTTAAACATCTGATTATTTCCCCCAAAACACTGTTATCCAGCTATTCACTTCATCACATAGTTTCCTCATATCATGCAGCCCTAATCTGCACTTTGATAGCATAGCTTGAATGGTTATGGTTGCTCACGGCATGGCTCAGAGTGGTGATACTGGCGGTTAGAAAATGCTATTTTAGATTTTTTCATGACTATATTGAGTGAACAAGCATCTTGATCATCGGCCCAGCAGAGCTGATGTTTAGTGGAGGAAGTAAACTTAGTTTCTGGTTATTGTGGCTGTTGATGTAGACTCAGCTGGTGTTTCAGAGCTAGTTATCCACACATCTGGGGATCATGTGGCGCTATCAGGACATGTGACACCATGACACTGACGTGCCACGATTCAGCTCCACGGCTGATTTATCACCCGGCGAACGAGCATGAATTAGCTTTGCAAGCGGTTATTTTGTGTCTGTGCAATAGCAGAGTCAGGTAGCCAACTCTCCCAGGAGGAGCCGCTGAAATCTGATGAAGACGAAGGTCAGCTCCCAGTCGGACTTGTTCAGCTCGGCTCTCAGTGGAAACCTTAAGCCCTGTGACGGATGAATGGACATGAAAACAAAAGACTGAGCTGCCTTTGTGCCCTTTGACAACAACACCTTAAGGATTTTTTTGTAGAATGTACAACCTTTTACTCCATTTTTACCGTAATGTTTTTTTTGGTGGATTTCATAGGATAATGGAAATGAGAAGGAGGGAGGAAAGGAAAGTGAGCGGAGTTTGGTGTAATTAGGAGTCAGGACGTTGACAGACATTGGCCCGAGCCGGCAGTTTGACCGGCCAGAGGTCCTTGTCGGATTCCCCTGCTGTGGAGTGGAGCTGGGAGCGTGCCAGGACATTCCGCGTGTCAGATTCTGTACAGCCAGCCCACTTCTCTCTTATTTTGTGGTTTCCTTTTGAGAGGACTAGAAGGAAGTACTATTACTCACTTCTTCCATATGCATTCAGTTCCTTTAAACAGCTCAAGGAAGAAGACGGACCTGTGTGTCTAGCACTGAGTAGTTTTTATAATATTTATTAAAGAGTTTGTTTTAAAATGGACTGTTGTAGAATGAAGGAAGCAGCAGAGCACAACATGAAAAGTAGGTGTCAGCATTTTTCAGTTTGTTGTGTGTCTTCTTGAACAGCAGACACGAACAAGAAGAAGTCCTGGCTGTTTTTTAATGTAATAATACTTTTCTCTTTAATTTACTTCCTTCTTCTCCTTTCTCTCCTCCAGTGCATCCCATGTGGCAGGAACCCCTCGCGATACCAGGAGGCGATCGCCAGTCTCCCATCGACATCGTGGTCCGGAAGAGCGTCTACGATTCGGAGCTGAAGCCTCTGGTCACTGATTACGACCCGCAGACCTGCCAACAGATCTGGAACAACGGCTACTCCTTCCTGGTGGAATATGATGACACCACAGACAAGTCCAGTAAGTCCTCTTCTGTGTCTCCTAGGTCTAAATCGTCTTAAAACATCTCAAGATGTGTTAACATTTACATAATCTTCCCTTTAAATCTGATTTAAGGACATTTCAGTATGGGGAATGCATGTTTTAATTCACAAAAAAGGATTATCCACCCCTTAAAGAGCCTTCTGTGTGTTAGAGAACCCTATCATCAATGCTACACTTAAAGCTGTTGATAAAAAGCAGAATAGGTCTGGTGACTGTCATGTGACTCCCGTGATTTTCCTGATCTCAACAACTACCATATTCTATCTTTAAAGTGATGTTAATCACTGGGCTCCACTCAAAACTCTACATAACTTTCCAAAGCATACAAACTAATCACAAATGCTTTTTAAAGGTGTCACATGCCCTCAGTCTGTGCATAAAGAGCTCAGTCTGGTAGTGAGGGAACAAAACAGGTTTACAATGTTGAGAACAGCGTTTTATCACCAGTTAAACAAAGGAAACAATGGAGGGATCAAGGCATGCCAGCGGGTACTTTAAGTACAATCTTTAAATATATGTTTTTGACCACCTTATCTTTCCTTTCCTTATCTGTCGGTAGTATTACTGGAATGTACAGGGGTAATGAAAAGTCATTGCCAAATAGGAGATAATTGTCTCTGCTATACAATATGTCCTGGATGGTCCTGTTCCTCAGCAGATGTGCCCTGTGGGATAATTTCCTCCATTTGGAGGAGGAAACAGATACTAGACAGACATTTGATTCTTTTGGATGACGAGCATTATGTTCTTTTAAAAGGATTGTGAAAGCTGTTCATTGTTTCTTCTCGGTTAACAGCTGGGGTGGGGGGTGCGCTAACACAAATGCAACACAATAAACTCTGCTCTCAAATGTTAAGTTTCTTCTAAAATGTATCAGATACAAATATTGATCAATCAATTTCATTATCACAATACCTTTGTCTGTCCCACAGAGGGGAAATTCACAATAATCCACATGAACCACTTTTAAGGCTAGTAGTCAAAATTCTTCCTTTTTTTTTACATCTGTGATTTTCCCTGTTTTATGGAACTGAAATCAGCTCAAGCCAACCAATCAGAATCTCCTTTAATCAACCTACAATAAAAATATCCTGGTCTTGCCATCAAATTGGAGATACAGGGTCCCACAATTGAATACATTTACACTGGAGCACTCTTTTGTACACCAATCAATACGGGACGATAAAGAGTCTCGAAACATTATGTCCTCAGAGATTCTGATGTCATGTTACATTTCAAACTTGATCTGTTCAAAGTTTCTTATTGTATCGTATGCAGTGCTTACTCTAAAACAACACTGAGAGGAAAACAGCATCACTACTATGTTTTAACTGGATATATTCTCTGATCTAGCTCAGCTCAAAATCAAGCAGCATGTTCATTTGCCATTCATTGCAAAATCTGTTACAAGGTTAACTTTATTTTCCTTGTTCAAAGTCTAACTGAATGTAGCAGTTTGGCTGGCAGAAAATGTGACTGTCTTGCTGTTATTACAGAACCACTGACTCTTGCCTCTGACTCAAAGCATTGGTCCACGGCAGTTCACCGCTGCAGAATGACTACAGGGGAAACACTAGAATGGTTGTTTTACTTTATTTTAGCATTAACAGTACACTACTTGTCTTTTAGCTGACAGTTTTTTCCAGAGCAACTTATAAAGTACTTCTAAACCCGTTAGCCATGCCTACAAGAGACATTTTCGGGGACACTTTGAAATGTTGACTGAGGATCAAACGGCTCACTATCCGATTAGTAGATGCCTATTTACCACGAGCAACAGTCAAACCACAAACCTTACGGGGGTTTGAATTGGCTTTAACATTATTATGTACAATTATATGGCAAACCCGTCTGTAAAGTCAAAGTATGGTGCACTGATCCGTATGTTCTGATCCGAATATCTTTCTGGTGCAGCGGTGAAAGGAGGCCCTCTGCAAGACAAATACCGGTTGTGCCAGTTCCACTTCCACTGGGGGGAGAGCAACGCCTGGGGGTCGGAGCACACCGTGGACAGGAAGCTGTTCCCTGCAGAGGTAGGTACCGTGCTGTATCATGCACCAATACATTAACACACAGCAGGTAGTGAGCACCAAACAGATCATTCCTGCAGGGAGGTCTGATTCAGCATACTTCTGAAATATTGCCGATAAGAAAAGGATATTTGCTGTAGAATAACTTGATTAAAAATAAATAGAACCCACAAAGCATATCCATTCATTTTTATTATATTGTAATCATATTTCATACCCTTTAGGCATTTATTTGATCTGCCTCGCAATATTGTGAGCATGTCCAGGGGGTGTACACAATAATAAGAACACTTTGCAGTATAAAACAGTAGTGCAGTGATGATGTATTTTGAGGCTCCATCACCAAAAAGCAATGTGATTTTTCCATTGGGTTTTGAAACATCACAGAAAATAAGGTCTCTGGAAAACACACGTTTATGAAACCTTCAGGTTTTATTCACCAGGATAATCTCCACATATTTACTCCACTAATAAGGTTTTTGTAGCATAAATGCAGTCACCAGAAGTAAAACGCTAACGGAAAATGGGTGGGCCCATATGACCAGTTGGAGTTATGGGCCTGCCAGCACAAGACCACATACATGATCCTAGTGGCTAGTGGAATTTTCCATTCATTTCCTTCGTCAGCTCTTCCGCTCTCACAGTGTTAAAGTCACTGCATTTCCTAACTGAACAACACGGCTATATTGAAACAGATGAGCTAATTTTAGCAGTGAGGGATACCATTGTGCTTGGACACAGCTAATGGCCTAGAATAGCTATATACAGGGTTCCCGCGGGGTCTTAAAAAGTCTTACATTTGATAATCTGAATTTGAGGCCTTAAAAAGGTCTTAAATATGACCAAAAAAATAAGAAAGGTCTTAAATATGATTTAGAAGGTCTTAAAAATGATCGGATTTGAAAGGTACTTCTGGGTTGCAATCGCGTAAATGTGTTTTGGGGGAAATGTCCGGGCTGCAAAGTAACCAGTACGGTAATAGCCTTTCAGTTCCCCCCAACAATTTGTATTGAAATAAATCAACATGGAACCCGTAATCACTAACTTTGTTTCCCCCGGCCCCTTATCGGAGAACACCCAGCTAGTAACCTAGCAACCAAGCTTCAGCTAGCGGCAGTCAGGAACTCATGTCTCTTCGAATCTACTTACAAATAAATATAGGGAAGTGTAAGTTCAACCGTATTTGTTTGGAAAAGATCGAATTTAGTGCTTGGTTGAAACCAGTGGAGGGAACGTATTTGAAGCCCGCTGCACCTTTTGCAAAATAAATTAGCGTTTGTTTTGCTAATGCAGCGTTAGCTAGTGCAGCGTTAGCTAGTGCAGTGTTAGCTAGTGCAGCAGCTCCCGCAACAATACCGGGGGACCTCCGGGCGACGTTTGGGTCTACGTCAACCCTAAAAGCGGAGGTGCTGTAGACGCTAAATACCGTAGCTAAACACCAATCATACAACAGCAACGATGAAAGATTGTAGCCAAGGCAGCAGAGCTCTGAATATAGCTCTTGTTACTCTCACACATTAAACTTTTAAACATTTTTATAGTGATGAACACGGTTCAATTTTTTAATTAATTAACAGCACTAGTATCTCTATATACACAATTTAGTAAATAATATATGATTATGTAATGATCCTTAGTGTTTGTCTGTTTTCTTATATTTAGAGCAAAACAACATTTTGACATTAACATAAGATAATATAGGGTATAGGATTTATACAAGGTGGAAGCTTATACTTTAATATAACAATTTATAGTATAAACAGCAGTATAAAATGTAATATCAAGTATAATAAATTGGTATAATTTAAGAAATAAGCTTGTTTAAATGAAGAGAATGTGATATTCAAATCCGTTTTTCAGAGTGTATTGCTCCTCAGTGCTGTATTTAAAAGCAACATTATAGTAAAAGCTCTCTCACACACACACAAGCACACAGACACACATACACACTTTTGTCTAACACGCTAACACAGTTCTGTGTATGCTGTTATGTTCAGTCATTGTTCTTATGTTGAACATGAATACATTTACTTTGTAAGTAATTATGGGATGTATTTCTTCTTTCATAGCAATTTTCCTTCATACTTTCTTGCCGTGAAATAGGTCTTAAATTCTATTCAAAGTGGTCTTAAAAAGGTCTTAAAAAGTCTTAAATTTGAGTTGGTGAAACCTGCAGGAACCCTGTATATATATATATATATATATATATACATATACATATATATATATATATATATATATATAGTATCAGCAGCATCTTTGTAGCCTTTTTTGTACCCGCTGTTTCTTAAAAAAAAAGAAGCTCAACTGCTTGCTGCTGAGCAACATAAATATGACCAATTAGAGGGTCAGCGGTTCGATGCCCACCTCTTTGGCACTTAAAAAAAATATATATAGGGGAGGGATGAAACTCTTAATGGTCACACATGCAGAGCACACAGCACACAGTGAAATTTGTTCTCTGCTTTTAACCCATCCTAGTACCAGGAGTCTAGTACTAGGAGCAGTGGGCAGCTATTGTACAGCGCCCGGGGAGCAATGGGAGTGAGGGGGTAAGGGGGTTGTCCGGTGCCTTGCTCAAGGGCACCACGGCAGGGCAGGAGGTGAACTAGGACCTCTCCAAGTAGCAGTCCACACTCCATTTTTAGGTCTGGTCGGGGACTTGAACCGGCGACCCTACGACTCACAGTCCAATCCCCTACTGACTGAGCCACTGCCGGACCCTAAAAGGGGCCCTATTATGCTTTTTTTTGTTTTCCTTTCAAAGCCTAAAATCCCTGTGTTCCCTCTAAAGGGAGTTTCTCTCCCACTCACCCCCCCCCCCTGCATAGTGACATCACTACGTAACACTCGCAATTCTATTTGCTACCGCCCCAACACATTGTACGGGATAGGCTAAGGGGCGGGACATATCTAAGCAGTTGACCAATCACAACAGAGCCGGCCAGCGAACCAATCAGAACAGACTGGGCTCTGGTTTCAGACAGAGGGTGAAAAGAGGTGCTGCAGCACAGATAGTATGTCACCATGTCATTTATAAAACATTTGTACATACAAATGCGCTGTGACATGTGCCAGGTGTGTGTGACCAGGTCATCGAGAGGAGAACAAGTCAGATAGGTATTTAAAAACACAGCTATTTAAATAATGGAGAGAAGAAAAAAACAGTTAGTGCCCAAATCGTCTCCTAAGGGTTAAAAGAAGAAAAGAAAAAAACGTCACACTATGCTGTTTAAACATCATAGGTGTTGACTTACTTTACGATCTAATTTATTTTCTATTCATGTGTCCTTCTGGAAATCTCTGGAATACTGAGAGTTGTCATTCAGGCATGTCTTTTAAACCAGCGGTATTTCTACATTTCCCTTTATATCAATAAATCCAAATTCAAACATAGACCGTTTATTTTCTCTCAGTGTGAGGGACATGAAACCAGTTATGTTGCCTAACCCCACATATGAACACCGAATATCTATTTTCACGTTGTACCATTAACTTTAGGACACTTATGTAACACAAGGTTGCACGAACTGTGCGTGTGTTCCTCGGCAAAGCTCTTGTTGTAGCAATGGGAATGTGTCCGTGTCATAGTTGTCATCACTCCGCAGTCTTTGTGTGTGTAAGTGTGTGTGCAGAGGATCACGTTACAGTCCTGTCTGACAGCATTGAAGCTGTCAAAGACACTGCAAATGACCAGTGCTGTGGGTAAATCTAATTGGGTTACTTTTATGTATTTTCCCGGTTTATAGAAAATGACTTATTTAGATGTTTGTTTTTTAGTTTATTCAGCCATAGTCGACTTTTGACTGGTAGTTTTGAATTATGCACAAACAGATCTGCTGCTCTTCTACACATGCACTGAATCTTTCCTAAATATATGGTATTTTAGGTATGTTTTAGAATTAAAAAGGTCACAGGAAAGGGTCAAGCTTCATGTAAAGCCCCACAAGTGAAATTAAACAATAGCTATCCAGTATGTTTCTTTATCTAAAACAATGATATAGCTTGGGCTGTTATTGCCTGTTCTGTTTCATTTATTCTCCATTTATTTAGCTTTTTTTAACTTAGAAATACATTATACACATTCCAAATCAGTCAGACAATCACGAGAATAAACTCTTATTTTGATAAGAAGGAATTATTCGGTCAATTGGAGGACAGAATGATTGGGCTAGGGTTTAAAAGATCAAGGCTATGGGATACAGACAAACACACACACACACAGAATTGTAATCTGCAACACTGCTTTTGTGCAGTGTATATACTTTTTACAGTTAAATGTTGTTATTCCTCTCTGCTACTTTCACTACTTTAATATATTCACTTTCTTTGTAATGCTACTACTTCTTATTTTAAGATAGCTGATTTCTGATGATGTATTTGTGACCTGCGTGTGTTTTCAGCTCCACTTGGTGCACTGGAACTCTGATAAATACAGTTTGTTTGAGGAGGCCGTGATGGAGGAAAACGGGCTGGCTGTCATTGGAGTCTTTCTGAAGGTACACACGTCACACATGGAACGCAGACACGTTTCACTTGATAACCTGGTGTGTTTTGCATATGCAGCTTTAAACTGACTGATGAATGAGTCTAATCCTTGTGTAGGTGGGAAAGAGACACGAAGGGCTGCAGAAACTGGTAGACGCCCTGCCTGCTATCAGACACAAGGTTAATGCACACACACAAATGCACACGCACCACATTCCTGCTTTTTGAAGATAACATTCTGATGCCTTATATAGATATATTGACCAATATAAAATCTATAAAAAATCTGATAACGTTTGGTAACACCAGTTCTCTGGAAGGTAAATACTGGCGCCCTCTGGTGGTTCAGTAAAGACACTACCGGACTGATTAGGAGTCAGAAAAAATAAATACTGATCAGCTTTTTTCACCCAGGAACTATATTCACAAGCAAAATCCCAAACTTTAAAAAATCTATCAACTAATTCCTGTTTGCCTATCCATAATAGACCAATTGGATCCGTCATTGAATAACCGTTGAGATGTGATACTTGTGACATTGCGTGTTGCACAAGCACAGTGTCAGTGTTTAAAATACCAGGAATTAAAATGCTAAAGATGTATTCAATAATAGTGTTAATTTCGTCAGCTATTTTTTAATTTAGTTTTAGTCTTAGTCCTGTGTTAAATTTCCTTTTTAGTTTTAGTCATATTTAGTAACCTTCATCCTGTTTTTATTTAGTCAAGTTTTAGTCGACTAAAAGTCTGAGCATTTTAGTCTTATTTTAGTCAAAGAAAACTAATTATTTTAGTCTACTTTTTGTCAATGAAAACTGTTGAGTCTTTTTTAGTCATCAGATTATATAGAACATTTCAGTCAAACTAGTCTAGCCAAAACCAATAACTTGTCATTTTACTCAAACTTATTTCACAATAAGATGATATCTTGTCCTTATTTGATGGACAGGTTGAATGATTAAGAAAGCAGCTTTGCAGAGAGTATCTGGTCAGGTTTGTGGTGTTTTTACCAGCTGTGTTATGGCCACATTGCTTCCCTTCTGATAAAACAATGCATTCGATTTTTTTCTCCGGCTCATTGTAGCGAAAATGGGCCCAAATATCACATCGTTTCTTTCTCCCAAACAGTGGTGGCGTTAGACTTTTTCGTTGTCAGTCATTTTGACGGACAGGATCGTAACATTTCCGTCATATTTTATATTTTATATTTTATTTTATTTTTCTTTCTATTCTTGTATATTTTGTAGTTTTGTTTTATTGTAAAATGCCTTTTATGCTGCTGTAACAACAACAATTTCCCAATTTGGGATCAATAAAGTACTATCTATCTATCTATCTATCTATAATCCATTATTACCCGTCGAGTCTGTACACAACTCGTCACTCACTCGCGCTGCCGGGACAGGGGGGGACGGGGTATTCGGTTAACGCGACCACTGCTCCCAAGCCCTGTTGTTGCCATTTTATTTTCTGTTACATAAGGTTAGTTAGACCATGAGTTAGACCCGAGTCTTCCTGACAGTTCATATTGTGCCGCTGTCCGGTGTATTTCAAATGTACCGCCGCCCGCAGCACAGACACACAGCTGCTGCCCAGCCGCAGCACCGGAAATGGAACTGCTGGGAGAAAAACTGACTATCAGAGATGTAACGTTGTCTTTGATAATATTTCGTCTCCTCATTTTTCGTCAACGAAAGTAAAGAGAGATTTTGGCATAGTTTTTATTTAGTAAACTACATTTTCGTCTCGTCACTTTTCGTCAACGATATTGCATGATGATTTCGTTACAGTTATTGTTTACTGCCGTCGGTGCCGTCTCGTCATCGTCTCGTTTTCGTCATGGAAAAAAAGGTCGTTGACGAACATATTTCGTCATAGTTTTAGTCAACGAAATTAACACTAGTCAATGCATTATTAATCGTTATTAATTAATCTACCAGTTTAGAATTGACTGATCTTGATGCTTAAACAGCCTAGGAGTTACTAGTGTGTAATGAAAATACATTATTTTCAGAAATGTACTTCATATATGTTTATATGTTGTTGGTTGTACATGTTTGCCCTTCTTTCACATCACTGCTACTACACTGCTTATCTCTAATATTGTCTGATAAGGCTTTTATTTGTCCGATAAAAGGAAATGCGACAGTTGTATACGGCATATTTATACTGGATAATGATGGTTGTATTACTTAGATAATATCTTCATTCTTCTATGGTTACCGCCTGTGCTGTAATGATAAAGACGTTTTTCACGGATACATGAATGAGTATAGTATAACAGGAGATATGAATAGTATAGTGTTTTATCTTTTAAATATAAGAAACTCTGTGTGCACAGTGTTTGTGTCTGCTATGATTTTGCGTGTCTCATGCCCGTAACATTAAAATCATTTCTTCTGTTGTCTCTGTGTGTTTGCAGAACAGTGTAGTGGAGTTTAACCGGTTCGACCCAGCCTGTCTGTTACCCAGCAACACTGACAACTACTGGACCTACCACGGCTCTCTGACCACCCCCCCTCTCACTGAGTCCGTCACCTGGATGGTGATGAAGCAGCACATCGAAGTCAGCCATGACCAGGTGTGTGTGAGATTTAAACTAAATATCTTTACTTCTTGCATGTCCATTCTTTATGTTTTAAACATGGTGCACATAATGCAGCATTTAGAGACATCTTTTCCTCAGGAGTTGGCAGAGACCAAAACAGAGCTAAAAGGAGATTCATTATTTACATTTGACAGGAGTCAAGAAACCTAAATGCTAATGTTTCTCTCTGGCGATCTTAAGTGTTTCTTTCAGTAGTGGTTATATTTTTAAGGTAAAAATGAAGAAGCTTATCAGCGGTCCTTTTCAGTAGAGCATTGCAACAATCCTGACCATCAAGGGGTGTGCCCAACTATTCTAACAATGAAGGGAGTAACACTGAGCTGGACAAACCTGCACGGCAGCATGTTGTTCCTTAAAGGGCCCATGTCATGCTTTTCCGGTTATTACCCGTCCCCTTGTGTGTTATGAAGGTTTTTATGCATGTAAACGGTGTGCAGAGTCAAAACCCTCAAAGTACACCCTGTAGCGAGTAGAACTCTAACACAGAAAATACCTCCCCAAAACGCCTCGTTGGAGATACGTCACTGCCCATTTGATTCTTCCATTTCGTTCGGGGTACGGCATGATGTCAAGCCGTACCCGGAACGAAATGGACCAATCCGTGAAGCCGTTACGTTAAGCCCCCGCTGATTGGTCCAAATTGACCAATCCACAGACTTCCTCACACACACATCTGTGTGCAGGGAGCAGGCAGCTCAGTTGATTTCTCCTCCCTGGCTGCAGGCTGATAACAGACAGTTGGGATCGTGGAGAAATTCTCTCTGCAGACCCATTCTCACAGCGTTTATCAACCTTTTTCTTACTCAATATCAAGCCACACTTATTGTTTTTACTTCGGCTGTGACTTTGTGTGTGCTCAGGATGAGTTTGGCTGTGTTTGGCTGTGTATCGCTAACAAGGAAACAACACCTCCACGGAGCTCAGCGCGATTCACAACGTCCCGACCAATCAGAGCACACTGTGCTCACAGGGAGGGTGGGGGCTGGAGCTATTGGAGCTACAACGAGCCGTTAAAGGCAGAGAGTGAAATTCAGTGAATACACGTAGTTTACAGAGATGCTGTATGAGAAACCAATGTGAGTTTGGAAAAATGCACAATATAAATCTATTCTAGTAGACCTCAACAATGGAATTATGATCAGTGGAAATGGCCATGACATGGGCCCTTTAAGATGTGCACCCTTCTACAAACAGGATGAGCTAAATGAGCCTGTGTATATTAGGTTTTTCTGACTGTGTCTTTTCCTCCTTCAGCTGGCGGTGTTCCGCAGCCTTCTCTTCACCTCAGCTGATGAGGAAGTGCAGAAGGGCATGGTGAACAACTTCCGCGTGCAGCAGTCTCAGTGCGGCCGCACCGTGCGCTCCTCCTTCTCTCCCTTCCTGCAGGAGGCGCCGTCGGCTGAAGTGGACAAACACTGACGCCGCTGGAGCCAGAACACACAGTAAAACACACCTTTACTCTGTGCCCGGACTCTGCTTTCCTTTTTTACTCCGTCACAACAAACACCCATTTTTAAGCTTGATGACGTTTCATCACAGGATCTTCAGTTTTACTGCAAATGTATTTATTTTTTAATACAAACCATTTTTGATTTTGGTGCAGACTAAATCCCACGAAAGGATGGTTGCTGTGGGGGAAACACTTTGTTTAACTGACTTTTTTTAACAGAAATCCTATTTATTCTACATTAACAGTCCATTAGTTACAGCACATGTGGGTTTTACCTGCAGCTCAGTGTAGAACGAGCTTAGGAAACAAATCAGCAGCACCATGTGCTGGCCGCAGTCTGTGCTACACCTCTCACTTCCTCTGTGATGTTTATATCCATAAAATGATACAGCAGGAAGCTGCAAAGGAGTTAAAAAAGGAGTTATCACTGTTATACGTGTCTCTCCAGTAGAATACATAATATATCATCAAGGGCTTTTACTCCTGTATGGCGGGTTGTTGGGTTTATCGTGGATGTTATCATGTATACATTAATAAGATGATTAGAATGTATGTTTTTAAATTTGTTACAAAGAGATTATACTGTGTACAGGACATCTGACATTCAGAAACCCTCGTTTCTTACAGTATGTGACGTTCAAACATCCCTCACATACAGAAGGGTTTAAGAACCATTACTTTGCGCACAATAATGCCAGGTCACTGTAGCACATAAATGCATTTTAGGGAAAAGCTGATTGAGAGAAGCAGTTCCCTCCCAATATCCTTCTTTCTTTCTCTTCTTTTTTACAGACGTTTCAAGTATTCAACCTACAGTGCCTTAAATATTCCGAATCACTGCCATGAGTTTCACCATTACAGGACTTCAGGACACCGGTAGAGGAATTGTTTAACCCAGCGGTTCCCAACCTTTTTCAGTCAGGCCCCCCTTGTGTAATTGGAAATATTTCCGAGCCCCCCCTAATCCGGTTCCCACAGAGATTGGTAGAATTAATTGTATATAGTTGTACAAAGATTACATTTTCTCTGCTAATAATAACAAGATAAAAAGATCCAACTATAATTTAATATTTTATTATGGATTGAACATGAACAAAAGTGCTTGTAATGGCAGATGATCCTGTGCCACTGTGAAATAATGAGGCCTAATTGAAACAATTACAAGTACTGCTTATCGATCCGGTTCTTTAACAGTATTTTGATAGGTTATTTTTGTTCTTTTTTAGGGGAAAACTAAACAAATTAGAAACAGAATTCACATTGATTCATTTTGTGTAGTGTGGATTATGGGCTGCTAGCACAAATAACATAGGCCTACCTGCAGTGGTGGTGGTAAGTAGATTTACTCAAGTACTGTACTAATATTGAGGTACTTAAGTATTTCCACTTTGGCTTCTTTGTAATTCTGCTCCTCTACAGTTCAGAAGTAAATCATGTACTTTTCCTCCACTACATGTATTTAATACCTTTAGTTACTTTACAGATGTGGATTCATGATGTGAAATATAATCAAGTCTTAAATCAGACTTTAGTTCCACCTGGAGTAAATGTACAAGCTACCCTGCAGTATACTACTTTTACTGATCTGAGTACTTCTTCCACCTTACACGTAATTGGGGCAACAGAACTCACGAGTTAAGGAAGTTGAAAACGGTGCATTTCTCCGTATGAATATGATGCCTTTTGGCCAGCTGATGGACAGATTGCTCGTGTTTCCGCGAAAATCCTTATGGCAAACAAGCATTGACCACATCGAGCCTTGTAGATTAGATTGTCACTTTTGAATGCTCTGTTGTCCTCCGGCAGATCTCTGTGTGCACGGTGCTGCAGCGAGTCTGTGAGCGAGCTGCCCCCCCCCACACAGACAAGAGAGAGAGAGAGAGAGAGAGAAAGAGAGATCTCCGTACCGAACACGTTAGATGTCAAGGGAGATGTGTGCCTCATCATACTTTGTTGATTTGGGCATTATAGCTGAAAGACTTGTCGTGGGCTCGTCCACTTTTCTTTTAACTGCCGGTTGTGTTAAAAATGTGTCCATTTTATTGATTTTACGAGCAAACAATGTTTGTTTACAACTTCTTCCCAAGCTTCACGCGCCCCTCCTGCAATAGCGCTGCACCCCTCCTAGGGGGTGCACCCCCAGGTTGGGAACCACTGGGTTAACCTGTGGATAACTAGCTGTTCAGGTCCTCTCAAGTCTATTTCTGGAGGGAACGGCTGTCTCTGGTTTGGTTGGTTAAACAAATTGAAAAGTTACTGTTGTGGTTCGGGAAATAATTACAAGTATTTTACTGTAACGTAGAATCTCGGAACTAGTTTAAATTTCTTCAATCTTTTTAAATTGAAGTCAAACTGACAGGTGACACAGTGGGACCAACTGACTACAATTTCCTTGTGAATCACAACGCCTGTCAAGCACTTTGTTTATATTGGCTTTCACTGCTTCCCAACTAAAAGTAATCTCCCATTCAGGATTTCTTTCCGGGGAAATGAAGCCTCTTCCTGGGGTTTCTTTTACACATTCTAACTCAAATTAACATCTACTATTAGCAGCGGCTACTACAATTCCAAGCCTTCGTGATTTTAATAAGAGCTAAAGGAGTGTTTGTAACACCCAAGAAATGTTTGCACAAATACTTCCATCGTCATAACTTGTTTTTATGCATCTCTAAAACAAAATCTGTGTTATCTCTGCCGGTTTAAATCTCGTACAGCGTATACTGTTATTACAGACATGTCAGACCCATGGGAGTATGGGAAATGGTGTTCAATTAAAGGCCACTATAAACCACATATTGTTAAACAATGATAGTAGGGTGATTCAAGGAAAAAACTGTAAAGCTCTTTTTGCTGATGCTGGATCTTTGTTTCATTTTCCACTTTTAAAATGTCTTTTTTACTAAAAACCGAAAGCTCTGCTTTACGGCGGCCTTATTTAATCTTCTTAACTAACACTTCATGTACCTTATGACGGGTTTACGGTTATCTACATAAATCAAACCCTCCTTTGTGTTTTTCACTTGATCCAACAACTCTGCAGAAACTTTGCAGATGAGGATTTTGTCATTTGAACAGAAAGAGCATCTTATGCAATCTTGCATCATATAAAGAAGTCTGGCAGTGTGCCTGTTTGGCTCCTGTCCAGTAGCTGCTTCACTCTGGGTGAATCTTACTATGCAGCTCTATTAGAGAGAGAAGGATTGGTTTGAAGAAAAGAGAGTAGGGCGGATACAAAGTTACAGGGAGGATAGTTCCTTTTTGGAAACCCAACTTGGAATGATCTGTAATTCCTCAGACCTGCCTGATCATACGTCTTTTACTTTAGAAGAGGAATTTGCACTAAAATCCAGAAACCTGCATGTATCTGGCTCCTTCTAGTTTCCTCTGTTGATGTACAGTTGAGTTGGGGGAGGGGTGGGAGGTCCCGGCTGTCTTTATAATCCTAGGGGAACAATGCAACAGTCCAAAGGGGGCCTAAGCTTCTTAGAAATAGCCGTTTCTTCCCTCCTGCCCATCAGGCATTCAAACCCTGCTCCCTCTCCCCCTGGCCCCTGTTGACGCCATATTCTGAATGGACGGCCTTCAAATGTATGTCAAAGATCCAACTTTATGCAGATGGTGCTAACCTGTTATAAAGGCTTCAGATATGCTAGATAGTCCCTGACAGAGTGGACGTTTTGGGAATGTTTCATGGCTGCTTTTTTCTTTTCTTACACATTCAGTGTTTCATGGAGACGAGGGACCCAGTACTGCCTTCATCTCGCTCAGCCATGTATTTGAAATCGTGCACCCTTGACTGCCTTCATCTTCCATGGCATTTACTCATATCTTTTTTTGAATGCCTTTTTTCCAACTTGAATTCAATGCGAATTATTCCAATGCAAATGTTGGGGAAAATGTCCGTCTACATTGCCTTTTTTTTGCAGATTTGTATCACTGTGCCTTTCTAACCATATTATAGGACTCCGTCATGATGCTGTCTTTTCCTCATTACACCATGGATACTTGTTCCCTGCCGTGTGTAGCCCAGTGTGATGTTTTAGCAGGTGTATGCAGTACATATTTGAGCTGTTTATTTGTTTAGTGGGCAGCCGACATTCCTGCCCCGTGGGGCTGGCCCCTCTCCCCTCCCAGCATGCTTTGCTCCACCTGGATGGCTCCTTATAGGCAGCTGTGCAACCATGATGTGTTTTTCTCCCTGCTCCCGAGGGGTGGAGGGAGAATGTTGAAAACCACCCAAAGGTGTCACATGATATAGATGTAAAAATGATTGTAAAGAAACTGATATATATATATAGATGGTGTATAACAATAAAGTATGTGTGATGTGAAAAGGATCTATATCTCGGTGTGTTTTCTTTACTTGCTTTCCTATGTAGTGAGACACCTGTTTTCAGTTTGTCCATGGGAATACAATATCCCAGGAACAACACGATTAAATGTCATATTTGGCACATAAATCCACACCGACTCGATGATGATCTGATCAGATTTCGGAATTTGTGGAAAGTATTTTAGTACATTTAATACAGCATTTCCACTTATCGCTACTTTTTTACACTCCATTACATTTCAGAGGCAAATATCCTACTTTTTACTAGTGTAGTACTCGAGACCGGTCTTGGTCTCGAGACCACTTTTTAAAGGTCTTGGTCTTGTCTTGGAATCGACAGCATTTGTCCTCGGTCTCTCGGTCTCGGACCTATAGGACTCAAAATTCTCGATAATTTGGCTACACAAACCACACATTTGACTAATTTACTGTTTTTAAATGAAATCACTTTTTGAATAAATATGATGACGTTGAATTTATATGTACTGTTTGTATGTGGGTCTTTTTATGATGATGTGGATCTTTCAGATCAAATGTATGGTTTCTTCCACATTTTATTGTAAGTGTATTATGTAGTGTTGGTTCCGGTCTTGGCTCAGTCTCGCCCTGCCTTGGTCTTGACTTCGTCTCGACCTCTTAAAGTCTTGGTCTGGTCTTGGTCTTGGTACACTCCGGTCTTGGTCATGACTTGGTCTCGGTTAAGGTGGTCTTGACTACAACACTACTTTTTACTCCACTACATTCATTTTACATTCACACCAGTTTCTGCATATAGAAACACATACTACTAATCTACACAGTATATCTCTTACCTACATTTGGTCCACATTGACAAACTTAAATGCTCTTACATGTGTCAAAAGAGGATCATTTAACCATACATTTAACCAGTGTAATATAATAGTGTGAAAAGATTCATTCTGCAAAACAAGTACTGTTGATACTTAGCTGATAAGTCATCTGTATTTTTATTTTATTCCGAAATGGGCTATTTTAAGTAACATTTTAAAAGCAGGGCTTTTACTTGTAGTGGAGTGTTTGAAGACCATGGTATTTGTGTATTGTTTTCAGTTAAGGATCAGAGTATTTCTTCCAACACTAGATTTCGGTGGTCAAAGCTCAAGGTCACTGTCACCTAACGAAACACTTGTTTGGGCATAAATCAAGAATTTGCACGCTAATAATGTTACTTTCAAA